AGGACCACCTCAGATGATAATCAGTGACAATGCGAAAACAATTGAGGCAACTTGGAAGTGGTTACTTACACTTAAAAACGACAAAGAATATTGCCAACTATCTTGCTATACAAGCTATAAAATGGAGGTTTAATCTATCAAGAGCCCTTGGTGGGGAGGTTTGTTGAAAGATTGATTGGAATAATGAAGAAAAGCTTATCTAAAACTATCGGTAAAGAGATGCATACTTTCAATGAATTAGAGGAAGTATTGTTGGATGTTGAGTGCTCAATCAACAATAGACCACTTTGTTACCAAGGTGACCAGTTCGACAATCAAGTACTGACACCAAACGTATCAATGAGGGTAAAACCTGAAATATTGCTTGAAGAAGATATTGCTTTAATTGCAAAGGAGGAATATGCAATACGGAGAGCCAAGTTTATAAAAACCTGTAAAACCCATCTGAGAAAGGATGGATAAACGAATATGTACATGCAATGGAAGAACGATAGCAAGTAAGGAATAAAGGAAGTAACATAAAACTGCCAGTTGTTGGAAGCTTGGTACTTATTAAAGAGGATGTAAAAAACAAAACACTTCTAAATATTGGACGAGTTGAAAGCGAAATCAAAGGAGAAGATGGAGTTACGCGTAGCTTAAAAATACGATTGGGGAACGGTTATGTTATTGAACGACCAATTCAACTGGTGTGTGACCTGGAAATCGATTTTAAGGCAGAGAGTATGATTGAATTTAAAAAGAACGTGGAAATTGGTAAAAAAGTAAAAACCCTAAAAAGAGTACCGAGACGGGCGAAATTAGATGCAAGACAAAAATCAGTTGCATCATGGAAGACGAGATGGCTGATTAAAGCCAAAGTCTCAGCTTTTTCTGGGGAGTGCATTGTGGATTACGTCTTCCAAAATAAGTAGCAAAAATTAGCGGTTGTATCTTAATATAAACATTAATATATTTGTAATGATGCGGTCTTCTTAAAGATACTGGAAAATTACGCAAACGTATAAAGTTAATAATATAATATTTTGTGGTTTAGAATTTTATATAAAAAATGGATGATATTTGTAAATAATAGATTTGCAATCATATGTAAATAAAACAACTATAAACAAACCTTTTGCATCTCCTAACATCGAGTGCAATCCTGTCCGCTTTCTCTATGCTATCTTTCTAACACGACTACTTCTGTCTTTCACTCTAACATATCTTCGTTTTTCCTAAACTCACTTTACTCTTGGTCCGTAGAGCGGGTTATGACGCTCTTTGGGGAGCCGAACCTGTCTTTGCGAGCCTTGGTAATGTGGCCTCTCTATGGCAATTAGCCGGAGGAGGATAAACCACAATACCAAACAACTATAAACAAAAAATTGAATTCATTAGTGTCACTGGGAAACGTTTAATAACTCCCCACAGAGGACTTTTTAATAAATAATTATAAATATCATGATATTGAACTCATGGCCATTCAGTTTGATTATCTTTCTAAGTATTTGAGAGGAACTTGTGTAGACATTGGTTGATTCCAAGGATTGCAGATTTATTTATATACCTTTCTGCGGCGTAAAAATCTAATTTTTCAAAACATTCGTAAACCGATATTTCTTTTTTTAAACTCTTTAAATCGTTTTTTTTCACTAATTGTCCTGCTTTATTAACTAAACTAATCATTTGTTTTCTCCAGCCAAGATGGTAACAACTTGCGCTATTGTTATTTTGCATAACCACGTGACTTTTCGTCTGGGTGGATATTTTAAAATAGCGCAAACTTACGCTACCGTATAGTAATGTGTCACTAAAAGTATGTATAGTTAAACAAACAAACACACTTTTTAATTGAGGCGTATTATATTTTCTGCATTTACTAAACTTAAAAAATTGGTTTTAAGAAAAAACCTACCTGGAAAAAATCCCCCGAAACAATCCCCCGAGGAAAATCCCCCCGAAATAAAAAATCCCTTGTGAAAAAAATACCCCTGAAAGAAATGCTTGGTTTTAAATTTAAAAAATATATATAAAAGCTTTTGTTTGCTAAGTATTTATCTAAAGCCAAATCGGTTAACATTAACAATGAAGAAATGGGAATTGCAACTTTCATATTTTGCATGTTATAGTTTTATGGTTTTATACATAAAGTTTATGTTTAAGTACATAAAGTTAGTTTTTTGATGATTAACTACTGTAGTTCATTCTTACAAGTTTAAGTTAATTTAAAATCCCGTTCTTAAATAAATTGAATGATTTTTAAAAAGTTTAAAATTGGTAGTGCGCTATCAAGATTTTATAAACCCACAAGCAAAAATGTATATAAAACATGTTAATCTATTTCTGCTCCCTTCTAAGCGTTTCCTTACAAAATAATAATAAAACCCACATATGAAACGTGCGTCTATCTGTTCGTAATACGTCACTTAAACCGAAAACTCGTGCTTTAAGTTTAGGCTTTATATGTGCGTGTTTTTTATATCAGGTTGTAAAATTATCATATTTATGTTTAAGTAACACGAGTTTTCAAATGAGGAAAACTGACTCTCTCCATCATGACTGTTAATGTTTTAACGTGCAACATAAACGGTCTAAACGACCAAGAAAAACGCGAAAATTTTTTTGGATTTCTAAAAAATTCCTCCTTCGATCTCATCCTCCTACGAGAAACACACTCTGGAACTTCCACTGTTAAACAGTGGGGAGACAAATGGACTGGCAAGTCCATTTGGAACTCTGGTCCAAGTCATAACAGTTGCGGGGTGGCGGTTCTCTCGAAATCCAACATTTCTTTAAGCGAACTAAAAAGGGACACTAACGGAAGAATATTAAATGTCATAATAAAATTTGACGAACACGAAATGCAGGTGATGAATATTTATGCTCCTAATGTGCCGAGGGAAAGGCGCCATTTTTTTGGCGACCTTGTTGATTTCTCGCAGGACACAGGACTACCCGTAGTGTTGGCCGGAGACTTCAACATGGTCGAAAGCCTGCCTCTTGACACAGAAGGCACCAACAACGCTAAATTCACACCTACGGCGTGGACGAACTCGGTGTATTCCAAGGTAAGTATAATCTGGTTGATGTTTTTCGTTTAAAATTCCCGAACAAAAGAAAATTCACATGGCGAAATCAGAAGGCAAAATGTAGACTCGACCGAATCTACTGCCCTGAAAAAATCGCAAAAAAAACAACATATACATAAATTCTCACCAACCCCTTCTCCGACCACGAGTTTGTAACAATAACCGTCAATTTTAGTAAAACCAGGAGAGGACCAGGATGCTGAAAATTAAACTGTTCTCTTTTAGAAATAGAAGTGTATAGGCAAAAAATTGAACTCTCAATTAAAGATTGGCAAACTAGAAAACGGTCCTACAATTTAAAATGGTGGGACGACTGTAAACTTTTTGTTAGGGTAGAATTACAACATATATCAATTCAGGAAAGTGCGAAAAACAAAAAACAGATCAAAAGGATTGAAAACGAAATCCAACGGGAGCGACAAAACGCCAACCCGAATTTAGATAGCATCAAAGAAAAACGCGATGCTCTTTTCTTGCTACAGTTTCCAGGAGCGTTTATTCTCACGACTAATTGAACAAGGAGAAAAACCTTCAAAATTTTTGTATAGTTTGGAAAAAGTTCAACAGCGGAACAAGTCAATTACCGTAATTCGCAAGAACGACGGCACATTGACGAGTGAAACTGGTGAGATATTAAACTCCCTCGTTTCATATTACAAAAACATTTACACCAAAACGAATTTATGCAAAGACAGCCAAAACTATGTCTTTTCACACATCACTAAACTTTTGAGTGATGATGAAAACCAATTATTAAACACCCGCCTAACCGGCGCGGAGTTAAAAGAAGCCCTTTTTAAATTTGAAAACGGATAATCCCCGGGCTATGACGGACTTCCAGCTGAATTTTATAAAACTTTTTAGCACATTTTAGAAAAAGATTTTGAAGAACTTGCTTACGAAATACTTTTCGTAGAAAAAACACCAGCCACTCTATGAAAAGATCAATAATTTTACTAATTACCAAGCAAGGAGATCTCACCGAATGTAAAAATTGGAGGCCCATATCCTTAATCGGCGCTGATTACAAAATAATCACAAAAGCGCTGGCCCTAAGACTTGCAAAAGTAATGGGGAAAATTATAGAACCAACTCAAACTTTCGGAATTCCAGGTAGAACAATTTTCTCAAATTTACACCTAGTCCGTGATCTAATAGATTACGCCGAAATTAAAAATCTACCTAGTTTCATTTTGTCAATAGATCAAGAAAAGGCGTTTGACAAAGTTGATCGCGCGTTCCTGCTGCAGATTCTCCAAAAATTCAACCTCGGAGAAAATTTCATATCTTTTATTAACACCCTGTATTCAGAAATTTCGGCATCTGTTCTGAATTGCGGATTCTTGTAAGCCACTTTTCCAACCGAAAGGGGAGTCAGACAAGGAGACCCCCTCTCACTTTTGTTGTATGTCTTTGTCGCCGAACCTCTTGCTTTGGTGGTCAGAGCGGACAGCAGAATTGAGGGATTCCCTTTACCAGGAACATCGAAACTGCTTAAACTACAGCAGTACGCAGACGATTCGAACTTTTTTCCCTGGGACGTAAAATCAGTCCGTTTCTTTTTTGAAGCAGTAAAACTTTTTGAAAAAGCAAGTGGTTCAATGATCAATGCCTCAAAAACCAAGGGTCTTGCTCTTGGGGGCTTTGATCCCAAAATGTACCCGGAATTGGACAACATAGAGTGGACTAATAACACCGGTTTCAAAATTTTAGGTGTTACGTTTTACACCAGACTGAGTAATACTACCAACTTCAACTGGCTAGTAACTCTAAACAAAATAGAGAAAAAACTCAAGTTTCTGGGACTACGTACTTTGTCACTTAGGGGAAAGACTATGTTGATAAATACGTTAGCATTGTCAAAAGTGTGGTTTCTGGCAAACGTTTTGCCCGTTCCCGAATGGGTAATAGAACGGTTGCACAATGCCATTTTCGAAAATCTGTGGCAAAAGACCAATTTCAACCCGGTCAAAAGAGACGCTTTTCTTACCTGTCAAAAGCGGGGGTCTCGGAATTTTATCACCGAAGGAGCAAAGCCTTGCGCTCCGCCTCAAAACACTCT